TCAAGCATGGGATGATATTAATAACTTTTTCAAGTAAAGAGGCCAAGGGATTTTTTGATAATTTTTCATTATTTGGATTTTTTAAACATTAAACCCTAAAAACAAAAGAAATCACCTTCCATATTTCTTTTATTAGAATTAAAAGAAAAAAAAAATATAAGACAATGTGTCATAGTAAGTGTGAACAATAGAACCTTATATGTACAACACAACCCTTAAGTTATGGGCTCTCTAGACTTGTTCAAGTCTTTTTTAATCTAAGAACACATTTCTAGAATTTCTACGGGTTTTTGAATGCCTTAGAATTTTTGTTCAACAATTTAGATCATTTTCTTACACTTAAAAGCCTTATAATAACCTATAAGATCAATTTTAAATAGAAAAGGAGGGCATTGGACTATGATTTTGGAGAATTTTATTCTATAAGTTTGTTGATGGCATTTGAAGCTTCCATACACATGATTTAATGGATATGGAATAACTTAGCTCATAACCCTTATGCTAGGTCCAAATTAAAATTCATAGAGAGATCATGCCTTAAAGTTTGTATTGGCCCGAAAGGTTTTCAAACTTATATATCTAAACATTCAAATTAAGGGCAACTATTATGACTGTAAAAATTCTTATTTTTCAAATATATTTTTTATGTAAAAGACGCATCTCAAAGAGTTCAATGAAGCTCAACCAACTTTGAATTATGATTTCAAAATTTATTTGAAGAATTAAATGGATTCCACAAGATTTAATTTTAACATCAAAATGACTGTTTCATTACAATGATTCTAATGATGTCAAAATTATTGAATTTAATGTATTAGACTATTTAATTAATTGGCCCAAGCTAAAATGGACTAAATCATGGTAATCACCATTCTTTCCCCAATATACTATAAGAGAACCTTCTAGTTAGCTCTCGAGTATAATTTTTCCATAAACAATTTGCGTGTTATATTCTTTTTTTCAAATGTATTGTAATTTTTGTGTAGTTCACTTATTTATACCTAAATTTTATAATGTATTTGTGAATGTTATAGATCTCTAATTGAGGCCTATTCATGGCATACAATTACTTTCAAGTATATAAATATTTTAATATAAAAATATAACATATTAATATTAGTATTTTCTTGGGCAATAGATTGTAACAGTCAGGTGGAATAAAATACTACTTTATTAATGCCTTTGTAATTATTACTTGTTGGTTACTAATTCCTGCAGGTTTGCATGGTATTTGAGTAGACTCTTCCTAATAGTCATTTTCATCCCCTTCACATTAATCCCTTCAGTATCCCCTATCGTCCATTTAGAAATAACATCGGAAACTAGATTGATATTAGAATACACCATCATCCCTTCCCAACCTAAATTCCGGATGGCCAATGTCAAGAATGGTCATTGCTACTCCTCTGAACGTTAGATAATCACCGTACGTGGAGATCTCAAGTCATCAAAGTATTTTGAGCTAACGGATTTTAAGGTCTTTTAGATGGATTCTGCTCTTGTCCAATCAAATACATATCTAATAATATTGGTCTACCTGCATTGAACCCTCACAATAATACATGGGTTATCATTGATCAAAATTTAGCAGTTTCTCTATATTTAGTCATCTCTAGCTCCGGCCTTGCCACCTTATGTGCTCTATCTAGATCATTGCACCGACATTTGGACAATAATTGGTCATCGTCTCAATCATCAACGCGTTCTAGGATTATTCAAATTAAGAATGACTCCATCATTTCTCTATGAAAGACCACACCATGACTAAATATTTATTGGAGGTCATATCCAAGGTTGATTCACTTGTTAATATAGGGTGTCCAGTTAATACTGAAGATATTATTCACTATACATTGAATGGTCTTCTGGCTTCTTATCAGGCATTCAAAACTGTAATACACACAAATTTGCAAATCTAGATGATATGTACATGCTTTTTTGTAGTGAGGAACTTAACATTACCCATGAAGTCACATGGGAATTAAGCTCACTCAAAATCTCTGGAAACACTATGTTTTTTGCGACACCTAGAGGATGGCATCGTGGTTACTTCAATCAGCATCGAGGATGATCCACTGTTATTACAAAAACACCAACATTTTCATATTCTCATTCTCATGGTGGAAAAACTACACGTGCAAATATCACAAGTCAAATATGTGGAAAATAGGGACATTCAGTTGTTCATTGCTAGTATCAGCACAATCCTCAGTATATTACTAAACCACCAACATTTGCTTTGTTTACACCAACAACTCCTGCCACTTCGCCTGAGTGTTGTCTAGATAATGATGCCTCATTCCATCTCACGTTTAAACCTAACTATCTTCAATCCTCTCAAGCTTACTCTGGTTCCAATCTGATAGTGTTGGGTAATAATGAACAGCTCTCCATCCACCATGCTTGTAAAGGTTCACTCCCTACTCTAACAGTACTCTAACAAGTAGTATGTAACTATCTAAACTAAAATATGTTCCAAACTTTTCTTTCAACTTATTCTCTATTCATCACCTCACCATTGACAACAATTGTGTTGTTTTCTTTTCTTCCCATGATTATGTTGTAAAGGACTAGAAGACTCAACAGACTCTTCTTCACGGTCCATGTATTAATAGACTTTATCCACTCTGCATCCAGCCATCAACAACTCCACCTCCATCTCATCTTATTCTCATCTCCATACAAGCTATTTTGGGTTTATGGCATCATCTACTGGGCCATTCATCGTCTCAAACTATATCCTACCTAGCTAAAATTAATTATGTTATTTACACTTTTGTAACTTCACATTTATGTAATGCATATCGGTTAGCCAAAACACACAAGCTTTCTTTTATTAAATCCCAAACTCAAAGTACCAAAAGTTTTTCTATTATATATTTAGATGTTTGGGGGTCCATCCCCTACACCCTCAAATTATGGGTTTCATTATTATATATCTTTTATTGAGACTATACAAAATTTAGTTGGGCATATCCTCTCCCTAAGAAATTTGATGTGTTTCATAAATTTCTTGATTTTATATGGATGATTGAATGCCAATTTAATGCTCACATACATATATTTTGCACCGATGGTGATGATGAATTCATTAACACTCAACTCTGATCACCTCTTTCTTAAAACAATGTGGAATTCTTCATCAATTCACTTGCCCATGCACACTGTCTAAAAATGGTGTCAGAGAATGGAAACATCGTCATACACTAATTAAAACCCCTTTACTCTGTACTCATTGAGGCACATCTTCCTCATTACTTATGGATTGATGCTTTACATGCCACTGTGTATCTCATTAACTGACTTCCGTCTTCCAACACTCACAATTTATCTCCTTATAAACTTCTCTATGTCAAACCTCTCACATACACTCATCTCAAAGTCTTTGGGTTCCTCTCTTACCCATGGCTTCATCCTTACGGTCTTAACAAACTTTCTCCCCTCTCTCGGCCATGTATTTTTATTGGTTATTTGCCGTCCCAAACTTGATCATTATACCAACAACAAAATTTATACCTTATGTCATGTAGTTTTTAATGAATCTATTTATGCCTTTTCTTAACTATCTAACACCACTTCTGATTCTTTCCAGCCATCTTCTCTATCTTCATTAGTGTTAGTTTCAGCATCAGGATTATCATTGTCCCCATGCCCATCACAAGTACCCGCATCCTCCAATACTCCAATCCAACCTCCAACAGCACTGTTTCCTGCCACTCAGAACAGCCCTACTGCCACTCCATCTCCTTCTCGTTCACAATCCTCCCTACCCCGATCTTTCAAAACCATAGTTCCATCTTCTCATCAAATGATCACTAGATTCAAGAGTGGCCAAAAAAACTAAAGTAGAATTTAAATTTGTCACACATCATAACTCAAATATCTGACCCTACTACATACCTTAAAGCATCCAAGCATCAACACTGGTGTAAAGACATGTCTCAAGAGTTTTAAACTTTTCAATCACAAGGAATTGGGAACTAGTTTCATCATCCTCAGAGCAAAATCTACTAGGTTGTAAGTGGATGTTCCGAACAAAGTTGATGTCAAACAGGTTAGTGGCTACGTACAAATTAAGCTCGTCTAGAAGCTCGGGTTTTAAATAGGAACATGGCTTTGATTATAATGAAACATTTAGTCCAGTGGCTAGGATGCCCACAATTCGAGTCTTTATTCTTATATCATTGCATAGATAATGGCCAATCATATAACTTGACGTCTCTAATGCATTCTTTAATGGCCATTTGACTGAAACAGTGTCTATGCAGCAACCTCAAGGATTTCAAGACTTAATTAATCAATCTTCTCCATGCATGCCGTCTAACGAAAGTTATCTATGGGCTAAAACAATCTCAATGTCAATGGTATGCCACTCTCTCGGGTCATTTACAGACATTTGGCTTCAAATTCAGTGCCAATGATCCATCCTTAATGGTATATCAATCTGGTTCAGTGTTTATATATATTCACATTTATGTGGATGATATTTTGCACACGTACCGGTAATGACCAAAACACATGAATTGTCTACTTAACAACTTAATTACAAGCCCAATTATGTAACAATCAGTTAGAATGAAATACTACTTAATATAATGCCTTTGTAATTATTACCTGCTGGTTACTAATTCGTGCAGGTTTAGAACCTTTACTTGGTTAATGATTTAGGCCACCGAAGAGCGAGATTAATTGACTCCCCAATCGAAGGAGAATGCAATATGAACCACTTATTTCTAAAAACAAAAGAGGAAAATATAATCATATAATTAGAGAAACTTAATATAAAATACATATCTTTCCAATGATATAACCTAAAGATAATATTAATAGCAATTTAAAAAATTCTCATGATAATATAACTTAAGAGATATATTAAGTGGAGCTCCATGTATATTTATATATATACAAGGATCTGACTACTTTCGCACTATAACTTTTAAAGGCTGAGTGCTAACTTACCAAATAATTCCTACACGAAGCCCGCGGCCATAAATCTCTCATTTAAGTCTCATTCAAGCCCTCATTAACTCCTCTAGTTTTTGGTAGGTCAAGCTTATTTACCACTCTCCCTTCAACTCCTCCTTTCTTCAACTTCAATATTTAGGAACAGAAAGAAGACACTTAGATCAAGAAAGAGAAACTCATAGAAGCAAATTTGATGTAGATGGTGGAAGATATCTGCCTTCTACCTTTAGCATCATCAAATATACTGCAATAAAAGTTTGTTCAAAGGCTTCAGTAAAAGCCAAGGCATGTCTCTTTCCTCTGCTTCATCTGAAGCTTCTCTTAAGAAAGCTCTCAGAAAGCGCTGAAACTCATGAGGAAGAAGATGAGAGAGCTCTTTCTTGTTCTTCTCTTCCTTGTCTGCTTACTCAACGGCGTTGGAGCGAAGCGAGTTGTTTCTACTCTTAGGCTTGCAAGAATACAGAAGCATTTGGATAGGATAAACAAGCCTGCTGTGAGATCCATTCAAGTAAATAAGATCAAAATCTCTTTTCTCTTTCTTTTTACAATGTTTTTTGTGTTTCTATCAGTTCTTACAAAGGAAGAATTTATGAATACAGAGCCCAGATGGAGATATCATCGACTGTGTCCACAGCCACAAGCAGCTGGCGCTCGACCATCCTCTTCTCAAGAACCATATGATACAGGTGAAATATTACTTCTTGAAGGAGAAATATTTTTTTTTTCATATTATTTATATATATTAGAATATAATGTTGGTCCACATAATTTTATTTTAGGTATAAAGCATCTGTCTTGTAGATATTCTATGCAAGATAAATAAGTATATTCAAAATATATAAAATATATATTTTCTTGTAATTTATAAAGCTTTGCTTGCCGATCACAACAATGAATTTGTTTTGTTTTTTTTCAATAATGTATGAGAACTGTGTATATTAGATGATGAGTTAATATTTCACATTGTTCTATTTTATATATATCATAAAAATTATTTGAAACTCTGAATTTTTTTTTTAATTATTATTGAAGCATTAAAATATTGATGAATTCTCTTCATAGTATCCACTCTGAACTTTTATTTCTGATAAAAGTATTGCTTTTATATTTTTTTAAAATCTGTTGTTAGGTTTAATTTTTTTTTTACAATTTTATTAGCAAAGTTAGGTGTTTCCTATCTATATAATTATTTTTTTCTTCTCGTTCAGAGATTGCCCTCAAAAAGACCTAGATTTTATGGCGAGCGGCTAATAAGTAACTCTACAATAACAAAACAAGCATGGCAAAATTGGCATCATGTTGGGCATTGCCCGAAGGGCACGATCCCGATACGTCGGAGCTCCATCAACGACGTCCTCCGAGCCAAATCACTCTACCACTACGGAAAAAAAAGGCGACGCCAATGGCCACCAACCACCACCTCGACAACCACCCGATCGCCAAATGCGCCCGATGTTGTCAGTGGCAATGGCCATGAGGTATGTATGAGATATATCATAGTAATTAAAAGATAGCTTTTGGAAGAAGAAAATGGTAATTAGGGAAGTAAACAAAGTTAGGAAATTGATGAGATTCAGCTTTGAATATGATTGCTGTCTACCCTTTTAGATGGCAGAGTAATAAAGATACAGATCTGAGGGAAGTTGGGGATTCGCAAAGGCATTAAATTTTGGAAGTTTGATGGCGAGGAAAAAGCTATTTGCGTGTGAGGTTTTTTTGACGATTGGTTCAGTAGGCTTTGTTTCTTCCTTTTTTTTTCTCTTCTTTCACAAGCAAAGTAGCACTCATTGAATGAACTCAATGGCATTGAATACTTAGTTGAGGCCATGATGATGATGATATATTTTTATGCCCATCAACTTTTTATCAATAAAACCCTCTATAATCTTACTTTTAATAAAGTTCTTTTTCCAACTTATTGAACAATTTTTTATTTTGCATATTTAGCCGAAAAAAGTACCTTTTTTTTCAAATATTTATAGGAAAATCTTTGGATTAAAATATTTTAGCAAAATTTAGCTTTTGATACGAAATCATTTAAAGAAATATTTTATTGAGAATTATAAGATATGTAGTAGAGTAGACCTTAAAGATAAATATAAATATTTTTTTTGTTAATAAAAATATTTTTTTAAATAAAAATTACATTATTAAATTTAATTAAAATATTTATTTATTTATTCTCTGTTATCCTCTGCTACCTAAAATAATAGTCGTAGAATTTAACAATTCATTGACATGGGAGCTAATTAATGAGCGTTTAGGGAAACGAGGATTAGATTAGTGAAATGCGAGGGATCCGATGCAAAGTTTTCATACATTTGGAATTTGGGGAAATCGTTTCCCATTAGTTTCCCTCTTTTTTTTTTTATTTTGGAATTATGTGTAATTGAATGAAATTATGGTGCAGCATGCGATAGCGTATACGGGAACCGACCAAGAATTGTACGGAGCGAAGGCAACGATCAACGTATGGGAGCCGTCCATTCAGGTCGGGAACGAGTTCAGCTTATCGCAGATTTGGGTCTTATCCGGCTCTTTTGACGGCTCTGATCTTAATAGCATCGAAGCCGGATGGCAGGTACTTTTATGTAATTATCGAATTCATTTTATTTTCTATTTTTGGGATTTTAAAATCTGCAATATCGTAATTGATGGCTACAAATATTAATAAAAAATATAGGCTTATTTATTTGTTCAAGTTATTTTAATATAATTTTTTTTTATTTTAAAAAATCTTTCTTATTTGGCATCATGTTTACTATTTTTAAACTCTTTTTATATAATTTATACTAAAATATTCTGACATGTTTTTTAAATAATAATAAATTAATTTCAGAGTAAGTTGCATGACACAAAAATTAATTTTTTAAATAAATATTTCTACCTAAATATGAGCATTGAGAAATAAGATCTAATGGCATAAGATTGGCAAAAAATCATTTTCCAAGCTTGATAATTGTTAAATATAATATAAAGGTATTAATTGCAATAAACAATAATATAATTTTTTTTATGAATATTTATAGTAATTGATAGAGCTTCACTTTTTAGTATTGTACGTAGATCTATTATACATACAATTAAAAGAGGATTACAAAAGACACCAAAGTATATTGTAAACAAATTTGAAATGTGAAAATCAATAGATATGACCTAGTTAAATTGATTTCATTAATATTTATCATATGGTATAATCTACTTCTTCAAGCTTCCAAATTTTTTTGAATCTCAAGCTAAGAGTCTTCTTCAAACAGAGAGTGTAGATTTATTTATGATTTTTTAGACTAGCATAATCTATGAATATAACGAAAATTTCAATTCATCAAAAAGCATGTATTGAATCCCCTAATTATATATCATTGTTTAATTTTTTAAGTGTCGTCATGTTGCTAGAATTAAACAATCTTAGGCTTATTAATTCATTTCATTGAGTTAGACTTCGTTTGTGACAACTTTTTTACAGCTTTCTAAATTAGCTTTTGATATAACAATTTTTTTCAACATGACTTAAAAAATGATTTATAAAACAAAAAGAAATCTATCACAAACGAAGCCTGGCTTTATTTGACTATGCAATGCATTAATAGATAAAATTTTTTAATTATGATTCAAATAGTTAATATGGGCTCATTCAGATTTGAATCAGTTCATTCATTGGATTAGTCTTATAAGCTTAGCTTTATTACAAGTTTGCTTGAATTAGAGTTCTTATGGTTCTACGCAGCTCTTCTCAATCTGTTTGTTGAGTATTTTGTCTACCAACTAAGAGATTTCGAGTTCGAGTCAAACATATGTATTGTGTGAAAGTCCGAGCACTCCCTTAATTCTCCCAAAATAAAAAAAAGTTCTTATGATACAATTTCATAGCTCTCACACATATATATTAAATAAATTTGTTAGGTAGTTAAATTCGATCAACATTTTATTTTCATTATTTTTTAATTAAAAAGCACAATTTAAATGAAAACTTTGGTACTTGTATTTTATTTTTAATGAGCTTTAATACTTTAGTGAGATTCTTAGCACTCCTAATATAAAATAACTTTGGAGGTCACACTATGGTTGACATTTAGGCACATGCTGAATTAAAGTTTAAGTCTTTGCAAAAGGCCTCAATGGAGGAGCACTTCCTTAAGCACTTTGCATTGGGCCCACTTTCCATTTAATTGGATGCCAAGTTTGTTGGTAGAATAAGTGGCTGTTCCTAAATTAGCGTCCGCAATAATTTTTAATAATTTCTCATTGACAGCAGTGGGGCCCACTGGATTTATATGGTAAATTTATCTAAAAAAACTTGTCATTAAAAGTTAAAATTTATTTCGAAATTATTACTATACATAAAAAATTTATATTACATTATTTTTAATAATTTTAAATTAGTTTTAATAAAATTTATCTTAAAATATCATGAAATAATTTTTTAATGAAAAATATGACCCACTTGATGATCCAAATCTCTATTTCATCTCCATTCTCTATAATTATTAAATTTAAATATTAAGGAGGACAAATACTTAATTTCAAAAAAAAAAAAAACTATCATAAATTTGCTCAAAACATGAGAGTCAATACATATTTATTAAAAATTATCAAAATAACAGAAGACATTTACTCAAATATCATTTTCTGCAGCTCTGCAAATGTAATTATTGTGTTGAATGTTCTGAAGCCTTGTATTTTTTTCTAGTCAGGTCAGCCCTGAGCTTTATGGAGACAGCAGACCCAGGTTCTTCACTTACTGGACGGTGAGATCTCTTCTCTTTCTCTTCAAGGGTAGATTATCAGCAAATTATTAGGCACGGATATGGGTAGAGAGAATCATCCGGATTTCTCTCTGTCTACAGGAAAAATACAGTTATTAAAAATCCGAATGATTCTCTCTGCCCGATATCCGTACCGAGCAATTTCTCTAGATTATCCCTTGAAGAACTTCCTACTTCTCAACATATCCAACAAAATTTTTGAAATGACCATTATTTATTCAAATATTGTCATTGCTTTTGCTGCTTTAGAGTGATGCCTACCAAGTGACAGGATGCTACAACCTCCTCTGCTCTGGATTCATACAAACTAACAATAAGATAGCCATTGGAGCTTCGATATCTCCGATCTCATCGTTTGATGGCAATCAATTTGAGATCAGCATTCTTATTTGGAAGGTAACCTATAAAAATGTCGAATCTAGTGACATAATATTAACTAATTAGCCTGCCTCACACATTATGACTTTCAGGATCCAAAGCTGGGAAACTGGTGGATGAGCTTTGGTGACGATTTGCTGGTTGGCTACTGGCCAGCAGAGCTGTTCACTCACTTAACAGATAGAGCAACAATGGTGGAGTGGGGTGGTGAGGTTGTCAACACTCGTTCCGACGGCAAGCACACATCGACTCAAATGGGTTCGGGTCGGTTCGCCGAGGAGGGTTTCACTCGGTCCAGCTATTTTCGCAACCTTGAGATTGTTGATGCTGATAATAGCCTGAGTCCTGTTCAGTCTATCACTACACTTGCTGAAAACCCAAATTGCTATGACATCAAGAGCTCTTCCAGCTCTGAATGGGGCACCTACTTCTACTATGGTGGACCTGGGAGCAATCCCAAGTGCTTGTAATTTGGCCCAACACTTAGCAACTCCTGTTCACAATATCAAGTTCATTTTTCAGTTCTTTTTTTTGGTCCCTTTCTCTCTCTTTATCAATACAAGCCTATTGGCAATGCAATGTGCAGTCTCAATGTATTAAGGTGCTGATATATGTTGTTTTGGTGCTGCAGATAGGGGGTTTATGAGTTTGTTTTGTTTCTATTTTTTGTTTGCCCCAGTGTACCAGTTTTCATGCTTCACCTGCTACAGTAGCAAACATTTATGTGCACCAACTGCACACAATTAAAACTATATGAATCTATTTATTGCTACAGTGTTGATTGTCATCCAGACTTCTGTACCACCGAAGATCTAATTCATGCCACATCTAAGCAAGTAAAGATGGTTGGGGAGGCTTTTGGTAAACCACGTATATGCAGTAATCACTAGTTCTGAACACAAATTTACATAAAATATGAGACACAACATGAAGACAATGTGTATGTCGCTCAATATTGTATTCCCAATTTTAAAAAAAAAATTCAAATTGGAAGTCAAACAAGCTCGATTATTGTTTGACCCTTCTAAATGGACAACTTTTGATGCCCACAACCATTGACATATGTGCTCGTATTCTCGATTTCGTGATCCCACCATAAAATTAAAATGATCATGCTTTAGCATTGCCTAAATTCTGACATTCCCCATTAACAGTCATCTAATTTTTGCAAACAGATGATGTCTAACTCCCATCTTCATAGTCGCATATTACCCCCTCTAATTATTAGATCTATCATCACTTTTTTTTTTTAGAGCAATCATCACTTGATATCTATCCATAATTGACATCCAACATTCGTAGCCATCAATGTCCGAAGCTTTTCCTCCAAATTGTCAAACATCCCTTCCTATAATGAGAATGACTGAGCTAATTTCCCTCCATTGCTTGACTCTTAGTGTTCCCTATTGAACATCGCTCCTTGCTCGCCAGCAATTAATGCTTGATGCTCTTTAGTCTTCCCATTTGATGTTTATTTTTCATCACAAAATAAAAATTATCTTGATAACTTTTAAAAAAAGTTGATTTTTCGTAATAATTTAATATGATATGATAATTGTGATGGAAATTGCGTCGTCAATTCATTGATATATAACTCGTAGAATTAAAAATAAATAAATAATTGGCTACAAGAAATTAATAACTACTAAAACTTATAACACAATATTATTGTAAAAGTTCATATCAGGCCTTTATTTTGAGAGTAATAGAAACATGCCACGTATCTAACTAATATTATATATTTCATGGCTCCAATGCAAAATTTGAATAATTTGGGTCAAAATACACCATATTCACCATATAACATAACACATCACATGTTATATAACTAAAAATATTACCTATCATTTTTTAAAAGGTCATTTCTTTGTATTTTCTTCAACCAAATAATTCAAATAATTACTTCTCCCCCTTTCAACTCTCCTTCTTTGTATATATTGCCATGATATTAGCTTAAGAAAGCCAAAAAATAAATAAATAAAAATGATTAGGAAAAATTTATCTTAGTTTAAGTATAACTAATCAAAAAGCCTCAAAATATCTAAGCTAATTAGATAGAATAATATACTAATATTATGTAGAAATTATAAGATTCAAATAAGAGAGATAATTAACAGATCATAATTATATAATTTTTTTAACTAAATGCTCCTCAAAAAAATTTATTCCTTCTACTCTCTTCATTTTTTTTTCAGTAGTAGTTAGTTATAATGGGTCTTCTATGAACACACATAATGCTAATGCTTCTATCTTCTATTTAAAAGAGTTCAAAGTGATTAATGAAAATCCAAAGCTAATTATCTAAATGAAATAATAATAATTTATGCTTTCCTAGTCTGAGAAAGAAATGGCTCAACAAGATTATGGCACAACGAGAAAGAAGAGATATTGTAGGGAGGTGATGAGGTGCGTAATAGGAGGATAGAGAGGGACAAAAAAATCCTATTTCTTCTCTTATAAGGAGAGGGATTAAGCCAATCACCCTTCTATATTTCCTTTGCGAAAAAAAAAAAAAAAAAAAGCCAATCACCCTTCTATCTTTACTTCTAACCATCACCAACAACTTTTATTCGACATACATCGCCTAATAATAGCTCCAAAACTTCAAATTTTCTCTTAATATCATCATAGGGAGGTGTCTTATACAATTTACATTTGTTGCATTGTATTAACACATTATTTAATTATAGGGAAAGAATGTAACAACCCAAAGTTCTTAAAATGAATTTATTTGAAAAATCTGAATTTCTAAACTAGAGTTATTTTTCAATGTGGTTTCAAGCGCAACGACGCTAGCTAGGGGGAGAGGCACAGCGTTAGAAAGCTAGAATTCGACACTGCAGCACTAAGCTCTTTGAAATACAATAATAATGGATTCAACATGCAGCGCTGCAGTGCCCGATTAGAAGCGCCATGGCGCTTGGCAATGAATTAAATGTTTTTTTTAATATAAATTTTCTTCACTCTTCCATTCTTCCATCTCTCTCTCTCTCTCTCTCTCTCTCTCTCTCTCTCTCTCTCTCTCGTTTGGCTTGCCCGGAAAGAAAGGGAAGGAGGAGAGAGAGAGAAAGAAAGCTTCTGATGTTTTCTGTCCATCGCTTCTGTTACAAAAATTATTCTAATCATTGTATGTGACTTCTATCCAATTTTTGTCTTAAAATATTTTGATTCTTGGATTTATTCTTATGCCTAAATCAATATTTATTAAAAAAAATATTTATTGCATTTTCTTTTGATTTAGTGAACTTCCTCCGCATAGATTTTGATATATTATAGCAATGATTACTCTGATCATTTCAAATATATGATTTTATATTTTCATTGGTTAAAATGATATTTATAGCTTTTCATATGTTTTGGATAGCAATATATATAATGATTTTGACATCTTAATATGAGCATACTGATGAACAATTATTGCGAATGAATAATTATGCTATGAATGAATGATTGCTAATTATTATAAATTATATATGTTTTTATATTGTGTGTTAACAAGAAAGATTGGTTACTAAGAAAGGTTGGATGGAGATTAATTCAACATTGTACAGGAGGGTGAAAAATTAATTAATGAAAATGACGCCGACTAGAGTTAAAGTGTTAAGCATGCCGAATCCTCTCCATCATAACCTTGTTGTTTTTAGTTATTATTTACACATTTAAAAGAGAAACAAGGCATGTTTTATAAAGGGGCCACTTGAAACCCAAGTGCAAAATATTTTTTTTAATTATTGGTGGAGAAATATCGCACAAGCCAGAATTTCTTACTTGTTTAACGTGATTGCTTATATATGCATACATGCATTATTATTGTGCGATATTGATTTTAAGATTAAGATATAAAGTAATAGATATTACTAATGAATTTGCATTTGTAGACTATATACAATATAACTACATAAATAATATCATCCTCTCATTGTTATAAACTTCCGACAATTATGCAGATATTTGACTTAAATAATTGATACGGTCTATTTACTAACATGATCTCCTAATTGATTGGTTCTGATGCGCAAATGATTTTACTAATTTACAGTTTTGTTATTATAGCATTTGTACGACTCATGGTTATCAGGTTAACTTTTGAATATATTTATGATCATATTGAATGTCACTGTTAAGATTTGAATGATTACATGCACGTTATTTTCTTTCCGTGTTTTGAGTACAGTTGTAGATTTTACTTACTTGCTAGGCTTTATAGATCATTACGTTGATATAATTGATTTCAGGTCGGGTCAGAATCATGTGGAGAGAGACTGTCATTCGTGGTTTTCTTTTGATTATTGCATTTATTTTTATCCTTGTATAGTCATGAGTTGAAAATAGATAAATATATTGAAGATCTTTTGATTATTATAAATTGAATTTTGAATGAATGAATATAAAATTATGTTATCATAAAATTTATTTGTAGAAGCTTTCCTTGGAATTATTAAAAGAAACAGATAATTAGTTGCTCTCGAAATAGCTAAGAATATAAAAAAGATACAATTCTTCTAATTTAAATCTTGAAGCGTCACAAAGTTACTCTTTAAAATCTTTAGCAATCCTAAGTTTTCTAGTGAAAAAATAATTAATGGAAATGACACCAACTAGAGTTAAAGTGTTAAGCATGCCGAATCCTCTCCATCATAACCTTGTTGTTTTTAGTTATTATTTACACATTTAAAAGAGAAACAAGGCATGTTTTATAAAGGGGCCACTTGAAACCCAAGTGCAAAATATTTTTTTTAATTTTTATTTACTTTATAAATAGTTTGAAATTAAAATAATATTGTTAATAAATTATGTTTAATTACTCATACAAATTAATGAATTAAAGATTTAAAAATTAACTAATTTTATCTATAATTAAGAAAAAATGTTAAATCATTATTAAATAGACTAATAGGATATCACATTATATATTTTTTGCTAATTAAAATAATTCCTTAGGGACCATAAGACTATGAGCTCAACAAAATTACATTCAAATTGAACATCTTGACAAGAAGAACCTGATGATAATAAAATCGGCTCAATCCGAGTCCAAATTAATGAGCCAAAATCTAGAGATTAAAGTATATATGAAAGTTTAAATCATTAATTGAATAACTAAATGATTTTCAAACATGACATATTTATAATCGAATCAAAGATAATATTGACTAAAATTTGTCCTAAACGAAGCCTTAATTATTCTAATTGTGAAAAAGAACTTTCCTTGTAGCATTATATAAAAAGTACATAGAAAGTAGCAGTCAAATAAAATTGTAGTTGTTGTTTAAAAAATAAAACAACAATAAAGCTATCACAAACAGACCCTTGGACAGCATAGCATTTTTTCAGAATCCTTATGTGATTTATATAAAATAGACTTAATAAATTTTGAATTTATACCAAAATGATTGCTATATAAATTATTTTAAGACTCTCTTAGGTTTCATTTGGGATGGTTTTTTACTATTTCTTAAAGAAATTTTTTAGTACAAAAATTAAAATTTTTGCTTTAGAAAGCGACTTTAAAAAGTAGCAAAAAAAATCATCCCAAATGAAGCCTTAATCTTAATTTTAATTTAAAATTTATTAAATATATCATAATAACAAAATTATATGAAGATATCTTGATGCATTTTTTTGGGAGATTGACTTAGATGAAGCAAAAAAATAAATCGCACCAATATAAAATAAATTTGAGTATGAATAATGATTGATTACTCCGATTTACGATTAATAATATTAAATCACTCCAATAAAAAAATATAAGATAAATTTAAATGCTTTATGTATGATCCAACAAAAAAAAATGTAAAATTATGAGCCCAAACTCAAAATATATAAAAAAATACAAAATATAGGCAAACATAAAATTTAAAAAAATTTTAAAAACTGTGTGATTTTTGAAAAAAAAAATGAAACAGATATACCAAATTAGTAGTTATAAAAGAGGCAGAGTCTCAGCTAGGGCAAATTATTGCATCCGGACATCGGACACGGAAAATAGGTTCGTACATCCAATAAAAATTTGCTACGTCACTTGCACTTAAGTTGCGTTTTAGTTGTGCTTTAGTTGAGCTTTGACTGTGCTTTACCTGCGCTGTTGACTTCCATTTGACCTGCGCTTTACCTGCACTTTACCTGCGCTTTTGACGCGCTTAATTTAAAATAATATTTTATTAGTATCCGGATCTATCTCCGCGTCCGGTGACCGGATGCAATAATTTGCCCTCAGCTAGAGAAAGGAAGGGTATTCAGATGTGTAAGTTAGTACAATAGCTCACACAAACACATACTTATGTATATATGTCACAGAATCCCATCAACGGTGGAGAGAAGGATTACATTAGCAGTAAATAGTGAGGATAAATGTACAGAGTTAGTGACTGCTGTAATCAAGAGCTGCAATAGGGTTATCATTAAAGATGGTGGCAACTTGAGAGATGTATTATTACTGCTATCACTGTCGCTCAAGTTGTGGGGAGGGGAATTGATGGTTGACTAGGCATGAAGAAAGGCGAAGCGAGGAGTAGTTAACATCCTGGTAAAAATATCAGCTAACTGATCTTCAGTTGAAATGGTTTTTTGTAAGCAGGAGCTATTACTTGTGTTCAAACACAAGGTGGATTGAAGATGTGTGTAACTCAGAGGAGCATCGTGTGGAAATAATTATTTGGGATTGTAATCTACTGATGAGGTAAACTGTAGTGAGGAAGATCATTATGGCAGGGTTCTCAAAAAGAGTTTGATGATCCTTCAAATCATTGATTGTGTAGTCATATTCATTAAAAGAGATATAGCATTGATGGTTGGCAATGAGTTTGTAAATACATAGAAGATTATGTGAAATATTAGGTGCATGAAGAATAGGACTAAGAGAAAGCATATGTGATTGAGTAAGAAATAAAATATTTTTCAAAGTGAGATATGGGAAAGGAACCGGCCATTTCCCACACGATCAATTTTGAACCTTAATAATGTGCGGGTTGCTGAATAGAGTTCAGGTATATAGTAAGATGAACATCAACACCACTATCCAAGTACCGAGATGTTTGGGTGTTGGTCCATGTTTTAGGTTAGGTTGATCCGCATTGACATCTTATCAATGTAAATCTCTATAAATAGAGGTCTTATGTGATGTAAGGATTTGAGAAAAAATCTGAATAAAGCTTAGTTTTATTTCCTCCAAATTATGTCTCTCTCCTCCTCCTCCCTCTCTTCTTGCAAGAAGAGCTCATGATGAGCTCTCAAAAATCCTCCTGAATTCCCTAACACAAGAAGAGTTTGATGATTGTGGTGCAGCAAGAAATGCTTGTTGAGCAACTGGAGAAGGTGGAATATAGGTCAAGTCATATATAGAGATGCCAATGATGAAATGTAGTATGAGCACATTTTTCGTAAATCTGGCATTCATAGTGAAAATTTAGTGATTTACCTCCCCTAATAGAAACAAGGGAAGAAGCACCTTTGACAGCAAAAAATGAGACAACCTGACCTCGACCACAATTATAAAATTGTCATTTCTTTTGATACTTCAGTACCAAAAGTGTCGTCATCACTATATAGAAGGGAGTAAAAATCATCAGAACTGATTGGAGTGAGCTTTCTTTGAATGGAAGCTTTAAAAGATTGATGATTTGAGGAAAGAGCAATCAAGTTGTTTAAAATAATATCTTCCATATCAACTGAACACCCAATAGTGGCAATATTATTCAGTTTTCTAAATCGATTGATTTTTCATGATATGGTTATGTAGTCCATTTTTAAGTTCAATTAATCTAGATCTATTGATAGACTGCAGTCATTTCTCATTAACATAGATCCTCATGACAAGTAAAATATTTTAGCCTCATTTCATAATTCTTTTCAGCACTTCACAAAAAAAAACCAATAATAATACAATATGATCAAATAAAGCCTCAGTGTCAGCCCCTGATTGCATAATAGAAGAACAGCAAACCTAAAGGAAAGGTTACTGGTAAAGGACCTGGTAATGATTTTTGTTCTCTTGAGTGAAGACAAAACTTTACAGAATGCCTATTCTACAATCTGCATTACTTCATAACAGATATATCATTAATTTAAAGGTAGCTCAAGCTAAATTCCAGCTTTATAGAAAGCATACTCTACATTACTTTCTTTGAATCAACATAATTCAAGCAGCTGGTACCAAATGATCTCTTTGAGTTTATTCCAAGAATTTTATTCCTATATGACTAATACATGATAAAACTGTTCATATCTGTTACGAACATATATAAATATGAGCAATCAATATTTGGAGTTTTGTGCTCTTTTGCAGGATGATGATAAGTGTTTCTTCTCTCTAAAGCATATAAACTTCCATTTCTATGAAGCATTCACATGTGCAGAATTCTCTTCATGTTCCTCCTCCCTCTATTTCTTTTGGTATTACTTAGAATTTTAAGGCTTTGCCTAACTATATCAATCTCCCTCTCTCTTCTTTCTCCTTCTCTCTCTATGGTCATAAGCTTTGTTCTAAGTGCTTCCAATGCCTCCTCCTTTGCTTTTAACTCTTTCTGTAGGCTTTCCACCATAGCTCCTTGTGCAGATCCCCAGCAGAATTGACCCCCTATAAAACACATTCAGGTTTTACTTGATTAAAAGAAATTAGGAGAGGTAGTAATCATAATGAAAATCCAAATTTTTAATGCTATCTTTTTCTAAGATGTATTTAACATATAATTAAAGATGAGCTAGGCTTGAAGATTCAAGACAAAATTGTTCTCTCACAAATGTGCCCAGCTAAATTTGGAACTGTTTTCTTATTGTTTTGTAAAACAGTTTTTTAGTACAAATTTTTTTTTTGTACTAAAAAATTGCATTTGAAAGCATCAAACCTCAATCCAACATATATTTTTTCAAAATATCTCTCTAAATCAAATGTATGAAAAATTTTATTTCCATCATATTTATTTCTCTTTTCTTTATATATTTCATTTATTTATTTCGAATATATTTCAGTTGAAATTTTGCATATCTTTAGTCACACTCACTATAAGGAGAAGGATTATTTCTATGATAGTGGTCCTATGAGAGTAAATGGATGCATGAATTACTTATAGGATGAAGAAAAGGACAATGCTACTAAATGTTTGATGGGACATTTCATGTGATGTTCTGAGATAAATTGGATAACTAAAGAGAGATTTTTTCCATAAAATTTGTTCTGAATTATTGGTTTCATGTCTTCCACTGTTAGGTCTATTGTGAGTGGTTAAAGTGGAGCCATCTGCTATATATTTTGTACATAAATTATTGCAGAAAAGAACATTCAAAGTACCTTTTAAGTGAATTTGGGGTTGGTAATTAGGTGAGTTTAATTACCTTTTTTCCTTGGAGTTAATAGGGGAATTAAATTTTAAATTAATTAATTTTGGTTATAAAATATATTTTTTATCAATTCAAGATATTTATATCAAAATGCAATAAACTTTTATCAGTTTTATAATTTAATCATTTAGGCAATTTTACATTTTTTATATTTAAAAGTTAAAAAATATTATATTGCAAAATAAAGAGAATAATCTTGATGTTGAACCGAGCGGAAGATTCTTCTATCTTGATTGGCTGATTTTGAATAATTTTTTTTGAAAAAAATAATATTTACTCAAAATATATTGATTAATATTTTTTTTTATAATATTTCTCAAAATCATTAGATTTATTTTGAGATCACTGTAATATAAATTTTAATTTCATAAATATTAAATTCTTCTAAAAACAAATCTAATAATTTTGAGTTTTTTTTTTGTGATCCCCTTTTTTTTAGAATTTCTTTTCATCTTTTATGCATGTTTTTAATTTAATGTTGTAGTATTTGTTCATTTGAGTCAACTTTTATTAATGTAATTCACCGATTAAATAAAATAGACAAATATTTAATATTTCATGCTTCCAACCCTCCTTATTTGAAGGAAAAATAAGAAGGTGAAGTTTGAAATGCATCACTCTAGGAAGAAATTATTCTGTGTGGAGATCGGACAAAGAACGTTGTCCGGAGACCAATCAGAATATGTCACTTCAGCGGGACCGAGCTGCAGTACCGAGCGCTAAAAATATCTTGAATTTTGCATAATTGTCCTTCGTAAATGTGATTAAAATACAATTAACCATATTGTATGTTATAAAATCATCTCTTTTCTCAAAATTTACTATATGTTAATAAGCCAAGGATGAAAGCATGAATCTATTTGCTATTTTTGCATATTAATCCATAGAAAAAGAATGAAAATGATAGAAATCTTGAATGGTTCTCATCCTCCCATGCTTTAAAAAGAACAATATGGATTTATGCGGTCCGCCTTGATTTGCTTGTTTATCAATCAAGAGATTTTAAATTTGAAGCTTACATATATAAAATTTGTGTGAATTTGTATTATATTCGCACAAAAGTAAAAAAAAAAAACTTATAACTCAAGAATTTTTTTAGCCATAGAGTTCTTTTCTCAGCAAAAAGAAAAAAATAAGCTCAAAGGGATTAGATTTTTTTTTCTTAATACAGATATGTGTAATAGTACCTCTCCATTGGTATACAAAGCTACCATTTTAGTACTTTTGGTTAATCAAATATGATAAAAAAAAAAAAGATATAAAACATAGCCTAATCATCCATGAAGATCCAAGTGAACTTAGGAAAAATACCTTCATTTGTCCTCACGATGAGTTCATCGAGCTCAGTCTTAATAGCCAAATAGAGCTGTTTCCACTTGTCCACAGCCGCCTCCTTCCTTGCTTGCTCCTCCCTCATGCGTTCAACCACGTAATCTCTCTCTAGCCGCGGCCGCCATTCCCATTCCTTACCACCAATGGCTGCCGTCGCCGGCGGCAGCTGCCCCGCCGCCATCTCCAATCTTCTCACCATTTCTTCTTCCTCCTCCACCTTCCTCCTCAACATTGCCACCTCCTCCTTGTGTTTTCTCCTCTGCAGTGAAAATAAATGCTCATTCTTCTCCTTCTCACTTCTTAGCTCCTTTATCTCCTCTTCTAAAACACAGACTCTGGCTCTCAGCTCTCTTGGCTCAACAATGTGTTTGGTGTAGCATCTGCTAACTGCAATTCCCATCCTTCTTTTTTTTTCTTGGTTGGCTTCGTAGAGGACTGAGAGGTTGCAGCTTAAAATGGTGGTTGGGGTGAGTTAATGTGAGCTTTTGGAGGAGGGAATGCTTTATAATGTTGGAATTAAGGCTTCATTTGCCTCAGTTTTCTTACGGCTTTCTGAAGCAAAATTTCACTGAATAGTCGCGGAAATAATTTTTCTCAAAATTCAAGGAGATAAAACTTCTATAATATTCATAGTTGCAAAATAATTTAAAAATAAAATTCCATCCACACAATTATAAAAAAAGAGAGCCACCTCATACTTTCTTTGTGGAGGTTCCACCTCTTGTCTTTTTTGGGATATTCTAACGTTGATGTGGGCTTGGACTTTGTCAGCATGTGTATAATAATAATTAACTCATTCTTCATTTGAAATAATTTTATTATTATTTTTAAAAATAATTTTCATATAAAATATTTTGTATTAAAAAATTATCTTAAAAAATAGTTCTCTACTGATACGATGCTACATTGTTGTATACGCATCACGTCACTCCATTAATGTATACCACGATTGTATAACCGTTATGTACTGAATGATGTGATATGTGATGTGGGAACATTTTAGCCTATCTTATGCTTAGGGACTAGTTTATCTCCTTTAGTCTAGAGTCTTCTATTTGCTCCCTTAAATAGGTATAATGTATGGGTTTGGAGGCATTGAATGATATATACACCTTTTGAAGCTTGAAAAGCTTTCTTCTTCTTCTTCCCTGGATTGGGAATTTTCAAATCCTTCTTGCAGGTATCGACTTCCGCCGATCCACTACATCA